ACACTGAAAAAAATAAGCTGTTGAAACAACAAAAAAAATATTAATTCAACTCTTTATGCACTTAAAATACAAGCAATGGTTTTTGCACGTTTACTTAACCATCTAAAAATGTCAAATTGTATTGTTTAATTGAACAACAAATAACAGTCAAATGAACAAAATAAGAATATTTGTTCTAATCTGCTAATTTGGTTAATTTAACATTCTTAGGGTGTTAAGGTAAATTTCTTGAAATGTCCAGGTAACCTTTTTAGCATATTCACTTAACACCAATAAAATGTTAAATTAACATTCTGAAAATGTAAAATTCTTTAAAGGTTGGTATCCAAAACAAAATTATGGAAATAATATATTATTATATATAAATAGAAAGAATTGAACCTTCACCTCGCCCAGAGTTTTTGTTTTGAGCGTGTTCAACCCATGATACATCTTTGTATCATGTGTTCCACCTACTTCAAATACCGACAGACTGTTTCGCCCTGTATTGAGGGTCTTAACAGTGTCGGGCAATATGGTGTAGTGAAAGTTCTACTGTGGAACACACCTTAAACAAACAGATATCTCATCTTATATACACCTAATCGTAAGCTAACTAAGGCGAGATGTAAGAAAACGTCATTGTCTAATGACGTGGCGTGAGTGTTCGAAGCGCCATTCTCGGCAATTTTATGAATGCAAATTTTACATTTTAAATTTTAAAGTAACATTTTAAATTTGTTAAATGAACAAATTTAAAGTTTTGGATTAAAGAGCAACTAAACGTTAATTTAATAGTTTTTTTAGGTAATCCTAAAAATTTAAGTAGTTGATTCAACAAATTCCAGCTATTAAATCAAAGTACAATAAACATTTTAATTCAAAATATTAGTTTATGTTAAATTAATATTTAAACTGTCAAATGAACAAATAAACTTTGACAAACTCTGACTTTTGCTTTAACACCAAAATATAGATTAATCCAATGGGTTTTTTGTTGAAACAACATTTTTAAAAATGACATTTAGGCAAATGTTAACTCAACTACATTATTTTTTTCGGTGTATACATATGTATATCTATATGGGTGAATATCCAAAACGGGTATAAATTGGGGTGATAAAAAAATAAACATAAAAATATCTAAAAAACATGGGTGGGTATACATATGTATATCCATATGGGTGAATATCCAAAACGGGTATAAATTGGGGTGGTAAAAAAATAAAAAGCAAAGATTAATAAAACACTAGCAAAATAATACCTTAATGTGTATTTCTTAATAACATAAAGTAATTTCAAGGCGGCTATAAATTAAACTTAATATATACATATAGTTATAATAATAATATATACTATTAGATCAATTTTTTTTAAAGAAAAATTAAATTAAATTTATTATAATTTAACTATATATTATTAATTATCGTTAATAATGCCTTAACTTGTATGAGCTAAGAGTTTAGGGCAATAATAAGAAAGTAAACAACTCCATGGACATACCTTTTAACTCCATGGAGTTGATGTCCATGGAGTTGATGTTTTTATAGTTAAAGTCACAAACTTTAGAAAATGGTACATAATGTATCTTTAGTTAACTGTAATTTAAGCAAAGCATATTTGGTTATTTCACCTGGAGAAAGTTTTTAAATTTCAAATGTATTTAAATCCCTTTGTTATTAAAGACATGGAGTTGATCTTTAATAAAAATTCTTACCCGTTTTTTCGCAAATAATTGTTCTTTATAAATTTTTATTAAATATTACACCCCCTTTGCCTTGCTTACACAAATCAACACTAAATCACTCAAACGACGAAGTCTTCAAACATTACTAAAATACGTTTTATACAGGGGATTTATCATATATTAAAAGACTGCAAAGAACTCAGCTGTAAAATGGTGTCTCGTGCTTTATTCGACATTTTGGGTTAAAATATCAATAAGTTTGCTTTTGGTTGTATTTTTTTATACATTTCAAGTTAGAGGAAATGCAATATGAAAGAATCATTTCACAATTGCATCTAGTCTAATAGTATATGGATGATTTGTTGTCCCTACGCTAGGTGGTGACAGTCCATGGAGTTGACTTTAAAGTGTTTAAGCAAATTCAAATTAATAAAATAAATAGTGATGCCGCCGATACGAGAGATTCTCGCCTCTCGTCTCATCTCGTCTCGTCTCGACGAGACGAGTGGGCGATTTTCTCTCGACTATTTCCCTCGTCTTAATTTCCACCAATCACAAACGCGCAATTTTGTATTACAAATGGTTTCTAGGTGAAAAAACTGTGCGACAGCACCTGTCAGCAGTTTTTTCGAGTTTACCCGCGGCAAAACTTGACAGCTGTTGTCACCAAAAATTGAAATTTATATTTTAATTGTTAACTGTTACTCATGAAATAGTCTTGTCAAATACCATTCGGGCATCTAATTTTTCCTGTGAAAAAAATCTAAAAAACACAATGCTAAGTAATATTTTTTAACAAAAAGCATTCGTGCAGGTGCAAAAATCCTCCTCTTCGACTCGGATTTTTGTTGCCACCAGCTTCTTGTTAAAATATTACTTAGCAACGTGTTTTTTCGATTTTTTTCGGAAAAATTAGATGCCCTTATGATATTACTTACGAAAAAAGACTCGAGACGAGACGAGAGAATGCCCTCTCTCGCTCGAGAATTTCTCGTTTCTCTCGATCTCTCTCGTTCTCTCGATTATTCCTGTAATAAGTAAACAATTTTTTTTTACATAAAAATTATAATTTTGCACATAAATGATGATATTTATTTGGACCAATGAGAACATTATTCGAATTTCATAATAAACAAAATTTGTTCCTGGTTAACGTTGTATTATTTTATAACACAACTTAACGTTAACCAAGAAAAAATTACTTATAAAATAATAATAATTTTTAAAATTTACCATGTATAAGCACATCTATGGCACTCCTTATACTATTTAAAAAAAACCGTATGCTTAATAAGCATTGCTTATTCAATAAACTTATCAACAACATGTGGTTTTTGAGGGCCTGATTACAAATTTGATATCCATTTTTTTTAACAAAATGGCTGATCCAATATGAGGAAAATTCGTCGTTCGGCTTTAATGGTTTGGGTAAAATTTAGTAGGTATTTAGATATTTATGGGGTCCCTGATTCAGAATTTGATAACCATTAAAAAAAACAAAATTGAGGATTCAAAATGACGGACATGCGCAGTAGGTACAAGATGGTTGAATCAAATGATTTGATCCATTAAAAACTATTGCCGATACAGGGTGTTTCTTTTAACTCAATATCTCAAGGAATAAGCATTTCACGGAAAAATGTTTTAAATAAAAGGTTAATGTGACCAAAGGAGACATTATTTGGTGCTACCGCTAGCCACCACCTACCCCTCCTTAAGGGTGAAACGGGGGGTAACTTTGTAGAGTCAAAAGGGATAACCCTTTTTTTACAGATTTTGGTAGTACATAAAAAATGAATAACTTTTATTTAAAACTTTTTTCAATTTTTCAACAGATGGCGCTGTAATTCAATATTTAAGAAAAATGGGTTTTCTTGTAAAATGTATTGAATGGAAGGACGGCATTTCGAACATTGGTTATAAATTGTTTTCAGAGCCGACTATTGTTGATTTGATGTTAATTTTTGTTTATTAAACGTTTCAAATAATACATTTTACAAGAAAACCCATTTTTCTTAAATTTTGAATTACAGCGCCATCTGTTGATAAATTGAAAAAAGTTTTAAATAAAAGTTATTCATTTTTTTATGTACTACCAAAATCTGTAAAAAAATGGTTATCCCATTTGACTCTCCAAAGTTACCCCTCGTTTCACCCTTAAGGAGGGGTGGGGGTGGCTAGCGGTAGCACTAAATAATGTCCCCTTTGGTCACATTATCCTTTTATTTAAAACATTTTTCCGTGAAATGCGTATTTCTTTAGATATTGAGCTGTTTTAAGTTAAAAGAAACACCCTGTATCGGCGCAATAGTTTTTAATGGATCAAATCATTTGATCCATCCATCTGAAAACTACTGCGCATATATGATGTAACTAAGCAATAAGCAATGCTTATAATAAGCATTGCTTATTCAATAAACTTATCAACATGTGGTTTTTGAGGGCCTGATTACAAATTTGATATCAATTTTTTTAAAACAAAATGGCTGATCCAATATGATTCAATAATTAAGCATACGGGTTTTTTTAAATCGTATAAGGAGTGCCATAGATGTGCTTATAGAGGGTAAATTTTAAATTACAGCGCCATCTGGTGATAAATTGAAAAAAGTTTTAAATAAAAGTTATTCATTTTTTTATGTACTACCAAAATCTGTGAAAAAAATTGGGTCATTCCATTTGACTTTCTAAAGTTACCCCCCGTTTCACCCTTAAGGAGGGGTAGGGGGTGGCTAGCGGTAGCACCAAATAATGTCCCCTTTGGTAACATTAACCTTTTATTTTTCTGTGAAATGCGTATTTCACGAAATATTGAGCTCAAGTTAAAAGAAACACCTATACTAGATGTAACTACTCCACATAGATCCAACCATTTGATTCAAATGCGCGACATTTTCGGCGTAAAAAGTCTTACTTTATTAGTGTGGTCTTGGCACACATTTTTTTTATTTCCAGTTTAAATTTCTATATAAAAAAATATAAACGAATTCGTATTTCATTCCAAATAATTTTTGTATTCATACTTAGGTACGTTTACCACGAGAGAAACGAGACGAGGCGAGAGAAAGGCACTCTCGAGCGAGAAAAGAGTATTCTCGACGAGACGAGAGACCCATTTTCTCTCGTTGCACGAGACGAGACGAGAGAAGGACTTTTCTCGTCTCGTCTCGTCTCGCGGCATCACTAAAAATAAATAATGTTTTATTTTTTTGGTTAAGTACGTTCTACTGCTAGACATAAACTGTCTATTGTAGCAGGGGCGGATACAGAATCTTTGTTTGGGGGGGGGCGATAGCCACTTTTTTAGGTGAAATAATTGTACGCAACCATGTTTTCAAACGGCGAAGAGTTGAAAAGCTTCTTTCGCAAGTAGCGTTACTAATTGGAAGAGTGGCTAAAATTTGAATAAGCTGTCTGATGGTTGGATACACATATTCGTCACAATTTTCAAGAACTTCTTCTGCTGATTGTGGGATTAATCTTTGTTTTTCTTTCATTGTGCTCCAGTGTTCTGACCATACCTCGTACTCTCCTTTAAGATTCACTGTGCTTTTTCCTAAGAAACATTTGTATCGTTCTCCAAGAGATATTACTAGCTTTAAAGCATTATCTTTTTTTTCCTGATTATGATTTTTTATAATTTTTGATTGAAGTAGTAAATTTAAATCGAATACTTCCAATGTTTCTTTTGGCAATCTTTCTTGGAGATCTAGTACAATGTGATCCAGTAATGAAACAAAAATTGTCCTACGATAATACTCTTTAGCACTAGACGCAGGGTGGTTTTCGCGGTATATTTGTTTTTTCGCAAGTCTAGGAATATCAATGTCAAATTTTAATTGTTCGGCCATACTCAATATTTTTGTAAAAAGTTCAGAAAAATGAGATTCGGCATTATTTCGAAAATTTATTAGAACATTCAAAGTATTTTTTAATGCTTCTGTAGCTTGATTTAAATCTATTGATGGAGCTTGCAAAAGTAAGCTTAGAGGTCGAGTTACGGAAAGCACATCGCTCAAAGAAATCATGGAAACGATAAACTCAGTATAACATATTGACCTTATCAAAGAACGAGCATCTGAAGTTGTTTTCGGATCTTGCCATTTGGAAATTTCTTCCAGAGCTGTTACCATTCGTGTTACATGGTTTTCAAACTGTATTATGCCATCGTGTTTTTCTGCCCATCGTGTTTCACACAATCCACTTAATGATTCACCTAGGTGATTTGTAAAAACTTTATTTCGTTTCGGTGAAGCATTTGCAAACCTTATAATATTTTTCATTGTTGCGATACAATCTCTTGTTTGGGGCACTTTTGAAGTTTTTGCTAGGGAATTATTAAGTGAGTGGTTAAAACATGGACAATACCTAGCATTTAGACAAATCTTAATTATTTCTTGAACTGCTCCTTTTAATGATGATGTCATAACAGAACATCCATCTGTCGCAATCCCAACGCAATCTTCTAAAGTAAGCCCGAATTTTTTTATAATATCTATCACAATGTGAGCTAATGCTACACCAGATAACCGTTTTTCTTGATTCTCAATATCTTCCTCGCGAATCGAAACGTAATCATCGACAAATGTTATGAAATCTTCTCTAATTTTTCCCTTATAAATGTAGCGCAAACTAAGACTAAGTTGTTCAATATGACCCGATTCTGTTGTTTCGTCAAACCCAATCGCATAAACTTTGGCATTTTTTACTCTCTCTATCAAACTTTCTTGAATTTCTTCTTTGCAACAATCAATTAACTCGTTTTGCGTTGTTTTGCTAATATATGTTGCTTTCGATGAAGTAGTTTGTAAATGATTTGCCAAGTCATTATCACCAGAAGCAACTCGAAATTTCAATAGAGCCCGAAAGTTCCCTTCGTTAGTCGTAGATTCAGAAACAAGTTTACCATCGTCTCTATGCCCTCTTATTGGAAAATTCTGAAGCCCGCAAAGAATAATTGTCTCAATAATCGGATACAATCTTCTTCTGTTTTCTAACAGTTGAGCCTTGCGGTGCGAAGAAATCAGATTTGAAATTTCTTTTCCCGGATTTTCGTAAGATTTGATAAAATCTCGGCCTGTCAGTACAGCGTTTAAATGGTATTTGTTAAGAGCGTGACAGGTGAGGGCACCATATGGTATCTTTGCCAGATAATTTTGCAAATGACAATAAAGGTACTTTCACAAGTTTGTTTAAGGGAGAATTTGACTGAAGATCACCAGTGTTACTACAAAAAGAAAACAGTATTTACAAAAACACCCCTTGGCAATATCAGAAAAAACAAGCCACACATTTTCTGACAAATAATGACGTTGAAAATATCTTTTCTCGATTTTTCCCTTTTTATTATGACTCGAAAATGGAAATATGTAATTAACTGGCGGTAACCAAGGCTCTTTTATCAATTTGTATTTTTTATAATCATCTAACAAATGTTTTTGATTTATAAAAGCACCGATATAATTTTTTTTCTCAACCGAATATTGACTTAAATGAACTGCACTAACACAAGTTGATGGTAATATGATTGATTTAGGTAAATAGAATACAGAATCAGGATCATTTATTTTTTCTTCTTCAACTTTGTCTGATATGACATCAGGGACATTTAAAATTAATGGTAAAGATAATACAGGATCAGGATCATTAATGTTTTCATTCTCAACTTTTTTATCAAAATCAGGGACATTTTTTTCAATGGCTTGAGTTTGAGACTTGGGAAGCTTGAAAAAATAAGACTTGATATTTTTTGTAGCAGGTCTCTTTTTGCCTTTCTAAAGATTTTCTTCTTCCTAGATAAAAATTAGTACAAATCATTTCAATGTTATATTACCATGTAAAATTTTTAATAGTTGAATTGTTACCTACATATGTAAATATATTTTTTTTTTAATTTAAAAAGGTTGAATTTTTAAATAAGAAATCCTTGGCTTGTTTGTAGTGTTTTAAATATCCGTGACTTATTTGAAAAATGGTGCAAGTGCATTTTTACCCTATCATTTTTTAAACTTGAGTTACCATTCTAATCTATACCTATATATAGAAAGATAACAACTCCTAAAACTCTAAGTTATCAAGCGCTATTTTAAATTCCAACCGTTTACTAAAAAAATTGATTGAGTTACAATCGTTTGAAAAACACAGTTTAATTTTTTTCACACTGCACATCTTATTACAATGTTCATACTGACAAAATAAGAAATCTAACTTTTATAAAAAAATCAAGAAAACTGACAAACAAATTTAAACTATTTTATAGTTTAGGCCGCACTACATAATTTTTAAAAGGTAACCAACGTTTTACTATTTTAGATTATATAATATAAAGCCCTATACAGTTTACCTGTGTTGTAAATGTATAATAAATGTAAAATATCTCGAGTAGATATCCCATTCCCAAATCCTCCGTGAAAAAAATTATTAAAACAATCAATTATTAAAATACCTAGTTGCCTATATTAAAAATGTATAAAAGTACATACCATTTTCAAAACTATTCAAAACTCAATTTTTACTGGATAAACAAATTGTGATTCTTATTTTAAAAACGTTAAACAAGCCAATTAAAACAATTCGGAAATTGAGGTTAAGTTAAAAGGTCCACGCGACTCTCAATAGAGTGCGCTGTAGTCGTCATAAGGCGAATAGTATGCGCAATAACAACTAATGACCAAATTTAAAATATATTGTTGCTATTACGCATGCAAACAGTCCCAGAACTAACGTGTATGCTAGAGAGAAAATGTTATGTGATTTTTTTACTTACATAATATTATTATAGTAGGTCGTTATACGTATTTAAATAAATTTGTAATAAAATAATCTGAAGCTTTGGTTCCTAAATTGGGCATCAACACTAAAATGTGTAACCACTTGTTAATTTACACGTTAATGTGTTATAAACTTATATTTAATAAATATCGTGTTATGTTACACAAAGTTGTGCAAATTTTAACAAATATCGTGTAAAATTTGCCATTTTGCTTCTTACCCCTTTATATGTAATATGAAATTTAAACTTTGACTTCAGGAAACATAGTGGGTAATAACATTATAATTTAATATTTTGACTAATTGAAATTATAAAATATGTTTCTTTAATAAAAGTATGTGTTAAAGTTTAATTATTCTTCGTGTAAATTATTACACGATATAAAAAACAAATCAACACTCTGATGCTGTGTTAAAATTTTACACGATTTCGTGTGGACTTGGAATAACACGGTTTGGTGTTGGGGCGTGCAGACTTGTGTTAATTATTTTATAGATTCTTTGGGAAATTTTATGCTCTACAAGAATCCGCGACGTAAAAAATTTTATCTCAAACGGTTCAAAAGTTATAGTCTTTTTAATGAAAAAAGATTTTTTTACGTGTTATTTCAATGGAAAACTTAGAATGCTCACCGACACCTTTTAAAATTGAGCAAAAAATTTTGCCTTGCAGGGAAATTTTTTGCTCGGTATGTAGGTTCATTTTAACCCATAAATCCGATAGGTTAATTTTTTTGGCTCACCCTAATATATGTATATATATCTTTTTTGAGTGTTATACCAAAATCATGAAGTTACGCTTTTGCTTTATTAAAAGAAGCTATTTTTGGCTAACCCTGTATATATTAAATGATGTGCACAGTATAAAAAAGTATTCTCCAAATCTCCTTAACAATATACTGTGTCAAAGGTAAACAAAAATTAAAAAAAAAAATCAGGAACAGCTAGGATTTTTGTAAATATCATTTTTAAGTCACCAAAGGGTCCCAAACAAGAAACTGCAATCAGTTTTTGGCGGCATTTTTATTTGACTTAAACTTCGTTCAGGCACACCGTGAGGAGCAGAGCAATTGGCTTTCTTTTAAATAAAAATTGTTTTTATTTCTAAACAGCATATTGTTATGAATTCCTTTTAAAACAAGCTTCCAAATGATTTATTACTTGACATACATTTGCATTTGAAAAAAATAGGCTTAGTTACACCCTTAAGTGGTGATTTTTTTTATAAAATTATCATCCTAATTTAGCCAAAAATTAAAGTTTACGTGTGTTTGTAATTTATAAAAAAATAAGTTGTTTTCAAGATAATTTATTCCAGTTAAGGTTTCCCCTCTGTATACTTAAACTATGGCGTTTGTGAAGCAATTTCACCCTGTATATTATTAACTGCAAAAGTAGTACAATTTTGATAACTTTACCTATTTTTTTAGAACATTTTCATTAGCTTTAAAATTTAACATCTGTGTCGAACTTATTGTATTTATTTAGCTGCTCGGCATACCAATACAAAGTAAAAATATAAATTACATGCGAATAAAACAATGCAGCAAGCCATGTAGAATAGCGTGCTCGATTTTTGTTCGACCGGCTTTTGTTCGGCGTTCAGAATGGCAATGGTAACTTAACTTTTGGCCAAATGTAATTACAAACGGAGTGTGCGGTCTGTTGAAAGCATTAGAGGGGCATTAAGTAGCATTTGATCACACTCCCCTTGGCAAGTATTTCTTTGTTCCCGTGCACCCACGTGATATAAGCACTATTAGTAACTGTGTACTACAATTATTACTACATGCTAAAATAATGGGGGCGATATAGACACTCACGTCTATTGAGTTTGTTCATTTCAAGGGCCCACTTAATTATCTTCAAGGGAATTATCGAATTTAAAACGATTTTGGTTGTAGGTATTGTATACAAATTGTATACAATACCTACAACCTACACATTGTATAATACAATCTCCAAAGACCAAATTCAATGTACAATTTTTTATAACATTGACTAAATGTAGGAAATGAATAAAATATATTTAATAAATATGTTTTAAAATAAAATGTTTTTTATACAATATAATGTTAAGTAAGATTCCATGCACGTTTGAAAAATTTATGATCATCTGGAAGAATATCTACGCCTGAACGGACTGGAGTTATCTTCAAAAATTCAGAAACATTTAATTAATTTTCTTAAATGTTTTAACATGGAATCAGATCTTAATGAAAATCCGATCTATAAAATATCTTTAATAAATTCGTCTGTTTTAAGCTGTAATAAGGAAATCGGTGAAATATAATTCCAAAGTGAAATAGAACGAATACTAGAAGGGCCTTTAGTGCCACATTAAATAGAAATTTAGATGTCATAGAACGGATGGAAACCTTAAAAATCTATAAAATTTTAATTTCATTAACATTTTAATGAACTTCCGGAAAAAGTAGTTATATTTATTCAAGTATAATATTTTTAGGTGTGGTTAAACATTTTCACTTCATAAAGTTATAATTGGAAGATATACGTCTCCATCTAAACTCCATTTATTGCGGAGAAATGTTGGCAGGAAAGCTTTTTAAGTTAACGCTTCATTGCTTTTGTGCAACATATAATTCGTACGAAATTGGAGATCATCGAAATATGTCGTAACATATAAGTTTTCCGAAGTCGATGAAAATATGTATTAATATTTTTGTTTTTCGTAGTAAAAATGGTACAGGAATATATACGGTTTACGTAATTTATTAAAAAAAAAAACAACAATTTTATTTTAATTGTCGACTTTTAAGTGCCTACAAAATCAGATTTGTTAACATGAGTTTGTAGTTTGTTAATTTTATTTTGTAAAGTTTTAACATAATTTTTTGTAGAAAAAGGAAAAGTTTTGTTAAGGTAATATGCCATTTTGTAAGCATTTTGTTAATTTTAAAGTTACAAATTATTTTGTTAATGTTTAACAAATTGTTTCGTTAAAAAAGTACACGTTCAACCAACTTCAGTGTCTGCAACTTATGTTTCTGCTTACTTTATTCTTATTCGTAATGTGTTCGTAACAACTGTCCAGAGTGTTTATAATATATAACCAGAAACCTGTTATTATTATTATTATTATTATTATTCGGATTCCTTATACCTACACTGAAAGAAATGCATAGGTTTTGGTAGCAAAAAACAATATGCTGAAAGCAATGTGTTGGAAAGAGTATTATATTTGTGGACATTACAAACAAACGGTAAAGTTTTGCGCTTACAACAAATGTCAAAATGCTTGTAGTAGTAAGCATATGAACTATTTATGTTTTGCTTTACGGACAA